GGCCACAAAGTGCCGCAAGCGTCTGTTTGCGGCGTCTCTCTCTCTCTCTCTCTCTCTCTCTCTCTCTCTCTCTCTCTGTGCGTGTGTGTGAAGGGGCGGGGCAGGGCAGGAGAGCAGGCCGCGGGCGGGCGACCCGGCGCAAGCAGGGGGGCAACGCAATATCTGTGCTGCAGATGGCAAGTCGTTTCGGAGAGTTGATATCTCTCTTGCTCTATCTCTCTCTATCTCTCGACCCCCTCAGCGTTAACGCTCAGCCATCCCTGCAGCTGTGGGGGGGGGGGGGGCTCCCCTCCGCCTGCCTTGCCTCGGCCGCCTCACCTGCAGGCTGCACGCCGCCGCCAGCCAAGCCAACGAGCAGCAGCAGGGAGAGAGATGTAGAGCGCAAAAAAGTTAATTCCGCGAGAGCCGCTGCTCGACAGCCACGGCGCGGCGTCGACGCTTAACGGCCTGCGGATTAATTCCAAGTTGTAAGTGGGACTGCAGCGGCCTGAGCGGCTCCCCAGCCTGTGAGCTGCACCAGACGTTCGCCTTGATTGCGAGCGTATGGCTTTTGTTGGACCCATTATTCTGCGGCAGCTCAAAAGCGCAGAGCTGCTGCTGCTAGGTCACGACGATCCACCACCCTCGACACTTTTTATTTTCTTTGAAGAAAAAAAAATGTGTGTCGGAAAACGGTCTGTTTCAGCAAAGCATGGGCGTCAATTATCAGGAATTATGAACCAAAACAGGTTCTGCCTGTCTGGCACACAAACCCACTTGTCCAATCCCAAGGAGAGTAAACGTCTTTCGAGAGAACTTAATTGATGTTCGCATTTTTCTGCCTATCAGTCTAGCCACCCGCGCCGCCGTCGGTGACGGTCACGGTCATCACAGCGCACGGTGCAGTGGCAGTGCAAAGCGCTTTTAATTAATTGTGCCAATCTGCCTCCCACCACTCCCCCCTGAGCATCATGCATGAGTGATGGGGCCAGCCATGTGTTGCACCTCTACCAGGAGATAGCGACACAGCTTCCGTCACCCACTCCCTCCCACCCTCCGTCCCTCCCTCCTTCCCTTCCTTCCTCCTTCCCTCCCTCCCTCCCATCCTTTGCATTCACCCACGCTCACTTATGCACCTTCTCCTCCTCCTGCACGGTAAGGATCAAAGAGCTTGGCAGCAGGAAGGGAAACCTCTGCAGGAATGTCGAAAGAATTCACATCAAACTTAGCTGCCACGACAAAGACTAAAGGCAAGGCGTTTTCATGAACGCTTGAGCGCGACGAGGGTTCCTACTAATGGCGCAACAGAATTAGTAGGTTGACGTCAGGGCAGAAAGGAAGAGTAGTTAATTAGTGTCGGGAAAAAACGCATAGAATCTGCATGTAAATAATTAATAGTGCTACGTAGTTTGCAAATGTGCGGCAATGTGGGCAATGTAGTTTGTAAGGCCCACTTGCAAGGGGTCATAGCTAGGTATATCCTCGGGGCGTGTGCTCGCCGCTCGTGGATGTGGTCCCAAAGCGTGAGGCTAACAAAGCGATCAAGTCGCTCCCTCACGCGGGCAGGGCACTAAGCAGGTTATTCCGTGTAGTACACCCCACGGCTTGCTACACCTTACCTTACCGTCTGTTACGCCGCGGGCGCTTAAAAAGAGCGCACATGCTGAGCAACAGCAGCAAGGCCTCTTCATCCCCGCGAAGCTGCGTCGTCTTCCTCGCTTGTTTTTCTTCATCCCCGTCTTTCCCATACACTTCTCGCCGCCGCCCCCGCCGCTCGTCGTCTCTCCCTCCTTCAAAAAATAAAAAATAATAACCCGCGCGCGCCGCTCTCCCCATCGCATGAATAACTTCGAATATAAGCTAAGCGCGCCACCGCCGCCCATTAAACTGCTGAAAATTACTCCTTTCGGGCCGGCGGGCTCGCGGCCCGCGGGGACGCCCCGGGGCCGAGCCGAGCCGAGGCGGTGGTGGCGGCGGCAGTATATGTGCTTCGGATTCCACAGAAATAATGTGTTGCCCCCCTCCACCCCCTAAAACTCTTGCGCTGCTGCTGCACGCGTCCAAACGGCCGCGGGGCGCGGCGGGAGCCAACCCCTAACCCCTCGGGGGCGCGGGGGGAGGAAGGGAAGGAATTCCGCCCTCTTTTCTCTCTCCATCGTCGCCCGGGCGGCCCTTCTTCTCGCGCGCCGGGCGCAAACCATCCGCCATTATGTGACTCTGCGAGATTGGCGATATAGCGGCGGCGGCGGGGGTGTGAGTGAGATATATGATGTGGATGTAGACGACTTCCGATCACTGTGCCCCACCACGCCCCGCCACGCCCCGCCACGCCCCGCCAAGCCACGCCAAGCCCCGCCACTCCACTCCCGTCATTGTCACGCCCCTTCATTTATCGCGCGGCCTCCATCGTGTGTCCACATCGCCTTATAGTCCTCTCAAACAAACCGGACAGGCGGCGGGTGGCGGAAAAAAAATGGGGAGAGTGAGAGAGAAAGAAAAAGAGAGGGGGGTAGAGAGCGAGTAAGAGAGAGAGAGAGAGAGAGAGAGAGAGAGAGAGAGAGAGATTGGAAAAAGAAGAAACAAATCACGAGGCGTCCAGTTTCCCTCGCAGTCTAAGGGTGTTTGTGAAGTTCTGCAGAGCCAGGCTCGGCCAGGCTGGACAAAGCGGCCGACGCCAGCGCCGCCACCTGTGACATTTGACCGTGTCTGGCGCAGTTTTGGAATAAGCCCCCTGACTAGTACGACTCGAGTTTAGCTCTGACAGCGGGGCGAAAACTTGTGTAGCAGAGAGAGAGAGAGGGGGGGGGGGAGAAGAAACGCCCTCGCGCGTGGACGTCGGGGCGCTGGCCGTCGTCGTCGTACTGAGAGTTTTGTCCGCACAGTCAGATTCGAGTCAGATTCTCTGAGATTTAAATTTCGAAATTTCGTTCACGACCGTTCTGAAGCTCCTATAACTAGTACACCACTCGCTACTACTACTACTGTATGCTGTCAGTGAAGGGAAGGGTTGGGAAGACCGACGAAGCCTAGCCCGTAAACCAGGTTTGTTTGTAAACTGGGTCTAAGCAGAGATCGTCCAGAAAGTACCGGTTGTCCCAGCTCTCACATTCAGGCGGGGCTCGTGGCTCGTGGTTCCTCGTGGATGCGCGAAA